TCCCGCGCCTCTGCTAGGGCCTGAATATGCAGAATAGGATATAGAAACAAGCGGGAGTTCAAAAAATAGGGCAGACAGTAAGACGAGTAGAATAAATACGAATGAGAGACTTAAATAAGGGAGAACATGCTAAAATTTGTGTTATCTTACAACCAACCACCAGCCATCCTGACGAGTTGCCAGGGCAAGTTGGAACTAGTTAGTTAGTAATATGCATAAGCCCTAAAAAAGTAATCGCAAGTTGAAGAGGTTTATTAAAAATAGAGGACGGGGCAATAGGAAGGGATGAGCTTCAATAAATTACATTATAGCTATGATTCTATCGCCTAAAGTGAGCAGATATTAGATGATCAAATTCTGGAGGATAGAATTCAGATTCATGTCGTGCTTTTTATGTGGTGTCAGGCTAATAATTTGGAATATCCCAAATGCAAAGTACTTAGCACGTATGGCTATGAAGTCGCAATTTTACATAAAGCAAATTAGTAAACATAAAAAAAGGTTTAGAGGAATCAAGTAATAATTTCATGTAATAAGACCTTTCATTTTGTAACAAAATTTCGATGTAATTGATTCGTAATTTCCCTTCACTCAAAGCCCAGAGTTCCGAAAATGCTGCTAATTGTACAGGATTAAGCTAAGAAATAAGTGAACTTGAAAGAAAAGTGGCTCATCTCTGCCACATCTTGGGGAAGAATGCTCAACAATTTTCTAACACCTTACAAGATATGTACGAAATTTTCATGAAACCAAGTTTCGATACTAAAAAGAAAATCACAAAAGGAATAAAAAATTAGCAAATTAAAAAAATAATTTTCACCTACTTCGCGCATGCCACCTTTAAAAAGCAGCTCTTCAGGAGGTTGGTATAGCTGTTGCAGACGAACTCGCTTTGCCCGAGTAGACGTGTTCGAGAGTAAACCTCGCCCACTTGTGACTGGTCCGTGTCCAGCAGAGATATAATTACCCGGGTACACCTGTAGTAGGTGGAAATGAAAAGGGAGATAGAGAGAGGATTGAATTTAAACTAAAGAAAAACCTGAATAATTTTAATTGTAAAGGAACAGAAAAATTCAAAGGTTAAAAGCATTAAAAGGATTGGATTAGTGTATTGCAATTATAGTAAGTCCTGAAATAGAGGATATTGTAGATAAACCAAAACAGATGCAAAATTAATCATAAGTTCATTTGAAGGAGGATGATGAGGCCTACACAACTTAAGGTCTAAATCGCCTAAAATTACTAGTCATATAAATATTCCTTTTTAAATGTCTCCAGAAGAAAAACTTTCATTTCACAATAAATTGACTCGACGTCAAACAGGAAGAATATGCTGAAATTATGTACAGACCTGACCAGCCACCCGAGGGCCGTTTCGCAAACGAGCCGAGCGAGAGATGGATGGGCCAGAGCTGCTAAAAGAAGCCTGATCAGAGGAAGAAGGAGCGGCTCCTTTCTGGTTTATGTTTATAGGAAAAAATAGTGGCAAAAATAAATGAGTTAATAAAAGATATATAGAATGAGGCTTTATAATTGAAAAAAATGTAGAAAAAATATGGTAAAAATGAAATGCACAAGAACTCAAGTTAAAAGCATTATATATTAAAATAAATGGCTTAAAAATATATATTCATAAGAGCAAAACTTTAACTACTACATTTAAAACAATATAACTAGATTAAGCTTGGCAAAAGGGGCAAATGATTTGAGAACCTCCATTCAAGGGCTTTAAGTGTCAAAATTAACTTAAACTACAAGGACAAAAAGAAATTATACGAATGGTATAAGTATATTAAGGTTAGTAATAGCCACAGCATAGATGTATGTATGAATAACAGCAATCTAAATTACTAACTTAACTAATCTTTGAACTTAAGTAATGCGTTGAAATTTCCTTAGTAAATCAGGAATAGAGCTATGATAATTAGAACCAAAACTTGCATAACGGAGTGAAATCTAGGAGTGCAAACCCCATCAAGTTATGAATTTAATGATCGTTATAAACTTTGATCAAAGCCACTCGGATAAGCCAACATGAATGTGGTTGTGGACACGAAAGTAAATGGATATATTTCCTCTCAAGCAGTTAAACAACTAAATAAGCAGTCCTTAACAAAAGAGAAATATCAGTTTATTAGTTGATCATAGATTAGTGTAAGTGTATGTTGACTATCAGAACTATAAAATAGTTAG